AGAGTCAGTATCAGAAACTTGATCTGGTTCCTCTAAAGCCATATTTGTTCAAGTCATTACCCTGCTGCTTACAAAGGGAGAAATACAGAGCAGTTTGATTCTAGAAAGTAACTAAAACAGAGCCAGTGTTGAGAAACAAGAGCATGGGGTGCTTGAGACAGCATGAACTTTGGTACTGGGCTGACCTAGTAGAGAACCTATTTACCTCTAATTATTGTAGAGAACTTGAGCTAATTATTTAGCCCATCTGTGTCCTTACAAACTTCTAAATGGGGATAAAAATACCTGCCTTACCAAATCATTAAACTTGTATCTTGCAATGTACCTAGCACTGTGCCTGGCATATAATAGGGGCTGTGTAAATGGTAGTGCTTTTAGCCCATTGATCCTATGGTCTATACTTAGCATCCTTGCAAAACAAGTGGTTAAAAACACCCAAATACATGTTTTTCTAGAAAATTAGAAAACTTCAATGTAACTGATTTCTCTCAACAAGATTAAATTATATAAAAAGTATATATAAAAATGTCTATATTTGTTCAGAACTTCTGTTTCATTTTATTTAGATCTATGTTGGAACAGTATTTGATATTTGATCAAATATGTCCACCATATATGTAGGAATTATTTTCTGATGCCCTAAATGGCAATATATAATCTGATACATAAGAATATTCTGTGAAATAAGGGAGACGAAATTTAGAAATTGGGCTTGTTTCATAAAATCCAGGCTATATCACAATGAACTGTAGCATGCAGTGTATTGGGGATGGCTGTGAGCAGAGTAGGCATCTGCTTATAAGAGTTGCGGGAAGGCACTTTTGCCCAAAGCACTCACTCAGCTTCTTTCCTGCCCAATTCCAAAGCTTCCTTGGCATTCTAATACCCTATGGTCTGGGAAGAACTAGTCTTCTTGGGAGAGGTTATAGATTAAATAATTCATTGTATCAGGGAATGAAAGATGCTATTTATTAGTCTTTTCTTAAAAGCAGATTGTTAGTAGGGTGGCAAGTAAAAACGACTAGAGAGCAGAGGATGGAAGGCAAATTTAATATTTCACAGGTGACTGGGCTCTCTGGTAGTATTAAGAAGGAGGAGAATTGGCCGGCCAGGTGGCACAGTTGGTTAGAGCGAGAGCTCTGAGCAACAGGGTCTCTGGTTCGATTCCCATATGGGCCAGTGAGCTACACCCAAGCTGAGCTGCCTCTCAGCTGGTGAGAGTGCCACGTGCTGTTAACAACAAGGTTGCTCATTCGACTTCCACATGGGATGGTGGGCTGCACAACCCCCCCCACCACCACCACCACCACCATGCAACTAAGATTGAAAGCNTCCATCCAAGAGCACCACTCCTGTCAGGGTGGCCCTCTCCATACCGCTCTGTCCTTCTGGGTTCTAGGAGCCATGCCTTCTTCTTGTCCCTTTGGGCCCAGCTGTACTGACCACTTTGCTGTGAGCAGCCTGTGAGACTGCCTTCCCCTGAGGCCCCCACTGACTCCTCCTGAGTTCTTCTCCCTTGAGTGGGATTTTTCCTTTGGGACCCCAACTGATGCACAGTGCCCCCTCCTCATCTCCAGGCCTGGGGCCCTGCATCCCTCTTCTGTTCTCGGGAAGCCTTTTCCAGCCACTGTAGGCCGTTTCTGCCATCACCGTCACCCCTTTCCAGTGCTCCTTGGCTAGGCATGTGGTGGGCACCTAGCCTCTTTCTATGCTGCTTCCTTGATCAGAGGAGGCCTCCTAGTCACTCACTCCTGAGTCCTTGGGCTATGAGGCTGACTGTAGGTTTGACCATGGGCTTCCATGGCATCAGGGAATCTGAGCTGAAGGGCACTTGTCAGCAAAACTCAAGGCTTATTTCCTGGTTTTGGAGGCTCTCTCTCTATGGCCGCCCACCCCACCTGGGCCCTGACCCTTCCTCTACCTAGAAGGAGCACTGAGCAAGACTGTCCATCCTGATATTGGCTCCTGTCTGCCCTGTCTGTAGGGGGAAGACCTGACATTTCAGGGAAAGGGGCCAGGCCTCATGCATGTCTGGGGGATAGGCTGGCCCTAGGTGTCAGTCTAACTGTGATAGAGCTGAGGATGATACTCTTGGAGCCTGAGAGAAGCAGAAATTGGCCAAGCCACCACAGCTACCCCCAAGACTGCCTTGTACCTGACATCATTGCTGGAACACTGCAGGAGGCTGGGGCTTGGCTGCAAAGCGGTATTCTCCAGCACTTTCACTCTTGAATCGGCCTCTGTAGTGCCCATAGAAGCCATTGTTGTGCTATAATAAGGCAGGTGTGAGGATAAATCCTACCCAAATCCCAACCCAGAGTCC